TTGTAGTTAAGTGTACGTGAATTTATGCTTGTAGGTTTTTTGTAAGGCGAAATAGTAAATTTGTTATTATTTGTGTTTATCAATATGTCAAGAAAGAGGGGATTGTATTATTAGTATTGAGTTCATATGTGAATTTAAGGACAGAATTATTTTGGAAACGTTTTTGAAGTTTAATTATTTCATCTGTATTTTTAACTAACATAAGAATATCATCAACGTATCTTAGGTAGATTGATGGTTTTTTAAAATCTCTAAATATCTTATTTTCGAGGTTCGACATGTAGAAATTGCTAAATGTCGGGCCCAGTACTGAACCCATGGAGACACCATCACGTTGTATATATATATTATTATTATGATCGAAAAGAGGGACTTCAGTAGTACAAGCTAATAGTAGTTTTCTTAATATATTAGGATTAATTTTAAGTGGGGGTAAAGATGAGTTACTGTATATATTTCTTATAATTATGTCAATAGTTTCACTAACAGGGACATTGGTAAATAAGTTTTCAACATCAAGTGAAGCTATGATTTCATTGTCGGGTTTTTCACTTTTTAGGATTTGGATTACTTCTAATGTTGACTTAACATTATATTTACTAGGAAGGTAGGGAGTAATAAGTTGGTTAATGTATTTTGTTAGATGATATACAGGAGTTGGAATTTGCGATATGATAGGACGGAGAGGACAGTTAGGTTTATGTGTTTTTATAGTGCCGTATATGTAACCAGGTCTATAATCACCAACAATTTTAGGGAGTTTTAAAGTGTTCTGTTCAGCATTATTAGCATTAATATGTTTATTAAGCTTTGATTTTAGTTGGTTAGTCGGGTTCTTGTTAAGTTTTTTAAACTTTATGTGATCATGGAGTATGTGGCCAATTTTTTTGTTGTAATCGAATTTGTTTAGGATATATGAATTTATCTATTTCTAAAGAATTCATGGCTTTATTTGTCATCCGGTATTTTTATTACTTCAAACGTTATTATAGTGTGCATATTTTATTTGAAATAGACGGCCTATTTTTATTTAGTCGGATTACAAATAAATACATTAATTCTCTAGATTGTTTTGTTTACGTTTCGGATACAAAACTGGGCAGATATGGATTTCGAGAAAAGTAATTTGAGTGAAGCGGGTATGCTTTAATTAAAAAGTAAAAAGAGACTTATTTGTTGCGAAATCCTTCTAAAACAAGCTATATCAAACGGTAGTTTACCCTACAAAGGGACGCAGGTTCGACCCCTGCCAAAGACACATTTTCTTTAATATGATTTTTCGAATGCGCGGGCCGTCGGGCGTAATACATATTGTTTAATAAATAAAATAGAGTCTTCATTTCTAATGAGAAGTATTTAAATATTATATATATATATATATATATATATATATATATATATATATATATATATATATATATATATATAGTACAGGGAAACGATCTGTTGGTATATAATCCGGGTGGGTCCTAGAAATATTAATTATTAAAACTGATCCACGGAGAGATCGATGTATTTATTATAACAGAGCATATGTATTTTTACAGCAAATCCCCCCAGATTACATCAACATAGTATAGCCTATTTCAAGACTTCCTGTGCGCGGCTATCATCAGCCCCTAAGTGTCTGCCTCGGAGCATTGTTTTAAATTTATTTTCAATGTCAGTCCTTCTCTGGTAGACGCCTTGTTAATGAGAATCAGTTTGTGTTAGAGATTGGTGGGCGCGTAAGTTATCTTATTCCGGGGAAGTAGCCTGGGGTTGGAGTTTATTTATGGACAGGGCATTTCGTTGTTTGTAGTTTAATATCTGACTACTGACTAGGAGGTCCCTCAAAAGATATCTATAAATGTAATCCCTCGCACTACCACAAAATCCCCACGGACAAAATAACAGAAACACGTAAGCTAGATAAATACAATAGTTGGATGTCCGAAAATAAGGTACAAAGGCCAGCAAAATAGGCAATAAGTTAAATATTGCAGATACAGTGGGAAAGGATGCGCCTACATTTTATTTAAGGACCATAAACAGAACTTAACCAAAAGTACAAAATTTAAACCAATAAATCCAACTGAAAACAGAACTAGGCCTTATCTCAAAAAATATAAGTAAAAAAATAACCGACAATTTGCTAATCCCAACCAGAACTAACATTTGGAAAGATTCGTCTGACACTATTAAATGGTTCATTAATATGAGGAAAAAGGATAAAGTGACGTTCACTAAGTTTGATATAATTGACTTCTATTCCTCTATCAATAGGGAACTCCTGGTCAATAGTATCAACTTTGCAAAGAACTATATAGAAATAACGGATGATGAAATTAATATCGTCTTAATGGTGAGAAAGTCACTACTAATCTTGAATAATTTCACAGGGACTAAGCGCCACAATGACGAATTCGATGAGCGTATGACTCGGCCCAAGTTGCAGAGCAAGTATGTTTTTACATTTTAGATGTGCTTAGAATCGTAAAACCGGGAGTAATAGGACTGTATCGGGATGACGGACTCATTCTCATCCCTAATAGTAATGGTCCACTAACAGCGAAATTAGAAAAGAAAATTATTAGGGCCTTCATATTCCTAGGGTTTAAGATCAAGATTTTCTCTAACCTTAAAATAGTTGACTACCTTAGATATGACCCTTAACCTTAATGATAAAACCTTTAAACCTTATCATAAAGAGAACAAAACCCCCAACTATATTAATATCGGTTCTAACCACCCCAGTGCAATCCTAAGACAAATACCCACTACCTTTTGCAACAGGATTAGTAAACTAGCGTCCAATGAAAAATCATTAATAGGAATAAAGAACTATACGAAAAGCTCTCCAAAAAAGTGGTTTCCAAAACAAGTTGTCTTATGCAACCATCATTAGTAATACCGATACATGAAAAGTGGAATGTACGTGTAAAAATAGAAAAAGCAAAATCAGTTGGTTTAGTCCCCACCCTCACTTCCACAAACTGTCAAGTATTAATATCGGACAGTACTTCCTAAAATTAATAGCTAAACACTTACACAAAAAATCCTTTAACTAAGATATTCAAAAGGAAGACGATCAGAATTAACTACTCCTGCACTTATAATATGTACCAAATTATTAATTCCCATAATAATTACATTTTAAGTAAATTCTATGGGAAAAAAGAAATCTAACATGGAAACCCTCCGTAATTGTAGAATTAAGGAAAACTTCCCAGTAGAGGACAAGTACAGATCCACTAGAGTAGTATACCAGGCAACCATTACCCCTAAAGAAAATACGTCAAACCATAATATTTACATCAGCATTTCTGCAGGAGAATTTAAAACGAGAATACACATAGACACTGATTCACCAATCCAAAATTAACCAATCCAAAAATTAAAACACCAAGCAGCCCTTTCGAAAAAAAAAAAAAAAAAAATAGGGAATTGAAGAAAAAGTGTCTGCATCCTCAAATAAATTGGGAAATTATAGGTTTCGCGAACACCACCAATAGTATTAGGGATAGGTACAAGCTATGTTTAGAAGAAAAATCAGGATAATAAAATACAATAATCAATGCAAACTATTAAATCAACAGAGGGAACCAATCACTAAATGTAGACATAGAAATAAATTCCAAATTACCTAAGAATACATATGCATATATGTGGGGGTGTATATAGTGGCATATATGTATAGGCATGTAAATGTACATATATGTATGTATGAAGATATGTGTGTTGGACAGCACGATTTATTCCCTTTATCTGGTATTACCTAAAATCTATAAATCTATAATTCAACTAATTTACATTAGTCTTAACGGGTTTAAGTTGAAATCCTTCATCGGTTATTAATAATATTGGACACCTGTAGTACAAAAACTATTTACTCTGAATCCCAGAAACCACACTTGGAGCTCGTATAAGAAACGCCATATAATAGGAACTGGTATTAAATTACAAACGAGGAAAGGTCCTGGCCATAAGAAACTCCAACCCCAGACCGTTACCGCCGAGGTAAGATATGTTATGCCCCCACCAATCTCTAACACAAACTCATTCTCATTAACAAGGCGTCTACCAGAGGAGGAATAACATTGAAAATAAATTTAAAACAATTCTCCGTGAAACACTTAGGGGCTGATGATAGCCGCTTACAGAACGGCTTGAAATAGACTATACTCAGTCAGTTATGTGCCATGCAGGATACATGTGTAAGCGATCATCTATCTTTCGATACGTGACTGACAAGGTAGGTTGCCATTTCTTTCTGCGGTAGCCCAGTTGCCATCCAAGGCTATAGAACCCGGTCTATTTCTTCTCCTCTCCCTCCAGCTGTTTACCCATAGCTGAAGGGAGAAGAAGTATGAGAGTGTAGTTTCTGCATTCAACACCGTCACTTGATAAAACACTAGAAGTGTTGAAACAAATTGGCTACTTTTGTAGCTATTTTATAACATATTTATGTCATAATTTTCGAATAAATTATATTTGCTCTACTTTGTATTGAGCACTCTTTTAAGAATAGTATTTTTTGTTTATTAGAATTTATTCCGTATACACCAATCCTATACTTGGATATATATATATATATATATATATATATATATATATATATATATATATATATATATATATGTGTGTGTGTGTGTGTGTGTGTGTGTGTGTGCTATCAATAACTGTTATGTTTTTTGTCATTAATACTCTGCTCGAGAAGTGAGTTAAAGACTACCGCAATTTCTACCAAGTCAATGCTTTTTTTAATCGTGAACCATACCTAAACTAATTAGTTTATTATATTCTGTTGTTTTTCCTTCAATCAAATCTATTGTTTGTAAAAGGTCACATATGAAATTATAGAAATGACAGAGGGAAGCCACGTCATAGCGGTGGGAAAGTGACTGTGGCTGAGATGCCAGGTCAGAACCAGTAATATTACAGACCCTTTTTTGGATTTTGTCAAGAAGCTCGAGATATATAGCTGGAACATGAAGCAGGTTTATAAATGTGAAAGATAGCGATACAAATTATCTGGCACAACACGGTCTATCTATCTATCTATCTATCTATCTATCTATCTATCTATCTATCTATCTATCTATCTATCTAATTCTTGGCATTTTCGCCGGATTAATGTCACTCAGGAACCGTGCTTGCGATGTACAATAAAAAAGACCGTGTAAGTGCCTGAGCTTGTTAAACCTGTAAACAAAATCGGACATAAGAATTCAAATCTGTTATGATAACAAGAAAGGAAAATAAAAAGCAGTTTAAATATCCAATGCAGTGTGTGACGTACGTGTACTTGTCTTCACTAAACACTTGGATACTAATCTAATAATCACATATTTTACCGATTTAATGTAGAAGGAAAAACAATACATAAATCTGAACTCTGGATAATAAGAAACAAAAACATATTCATAACTGACTACAGCATTTAATTTTAATTCCTGCTCTCAAGTTATGCTGTTATCTCACTGCTCAGAGTTTATTAAATAGTTGCTGATAAAAATGGCTGTTAGCATGAGCGATACATTTTCTAGTCGTAGTACCGAGTGAATTATTATTTCTTATCTGATATGAAACGCATAAATTCCCTAGAGCCTCATTCAATCTATATTTAAGTAACATAAATACTGTCTCATTTTCAGCGTAATTCATTTGCTAGCTTTTCGATATAAGATTGAATCATTATACACAAAGGATAATGAGTAGATAACGGACATCAATAAAAGATTTTTTTATCACAGTGAAATAAAACATAAAAAAAAACTATTATTAACACTTCAGAATCATTTCAGTAATATTCAGTAAGTGTCTATTTTTCCATATCGCACGCCTTTAATAAAAGATCCAGGATAAGCGATAAGTTTGTTTAACCATTTTGCTTTGATGTCAGAGAAAAATACGATCAAGTCAATTTTGTATGAAAAAGATGTAAAAACTAACCCGTTGTATACAAATGTCTTAAGTAATAAGCATATGAAATTCTTTCTTATTCATTGGTGTGTAAAGAAAAGATAAAGTCAGTAATAAAACAAAAAACCCCAAAAAACATTGATTCTTCACGTGACGTTCAAGAAATATGTTCGCTATACAAGGTAGCAAGTAATTAACATTACTTGTCGAATGGGTGATCAGTTTTTGATGATATCTGATTTGTGATGAAGAAGAAATTTCGCAAGATCCTCTTTACCGTTGTTTCCTCTAATCTACTTTATCTTTTTTTTTTATTGACAAGAAAAGGAAATTGTGGCATGACGTCATTACATTAAGTAATAATACGCACGTGCGAAATAGTGTTATGGAAACTAATCTTGTGTAAAATTGTTTTTATTCACACTCTTCTCTAGTGAATAATCCATTGAATCATTCTAATTTATCTTATAGTAATGATAGTGATACATTTGCATTGTCAAAACAATATTAGAAAATCTGATATCTGGCTAATATGCATGTTTCGCATGCTTCCTAACTGGCTTCTGATGTTAAGTATCCCTTAATATCAAAATTTGTGCAAATAACATACATATATTTACCACATTGTCTTGCCATTGTAAGACCAATGCTACTTAACATGTACAATGTTTATATTTTATGTACATTGATAATACCCTCCCGAGATGAGCATTAGTGCAATTATAAAATTATAGCCTGTAAACGGGTTGCCAGGGATCTTGATAATATATGTGTACCTTTTTTTTTTTTATCAAGCCTCCTGTTATTATTGGTATGTCAATAGTTTTAAGGACCCACAACTTTTCACTTTCAATTTCAAGGTTTTTATATTTGCTTATTTTGTCATATTCTTATATAAATCTATTTTTATCTGATGACACTAACATAAAATATAAAATTAAGTAGGTATTTTTTCTTTAATCATTATGTCTGGTCTATTAGCTTTATATGTCTATCAGTATGAATAGTAAAGGCGTAAAAAATAGTGACCTTATCGTGTCAATATTTATATTCCTTCGGTGTCAGAATAAAACAACGAGACAATAATAATAATAATAATAATAATAATAATAATAATAATAATAATAATAATAATCACCTGGAAACTACAGGAGACTGGATGATGATCTGTGACAATAAACATGAAAGAAATAAGAAACTTTATTTAGTAATAATGGAAGCCAACAAATTCAAAAAGGAATTTCAAGTGGGTGAAGAAGTGCAAGTAAAATATAATACATCGACTGCAGCTGCAAAGTATCTAAAAAAGAAAGCAAAAGCAAATGTAATGTACCAAACGCAGAAATGATAGCAAGATAAGACTCTTCATGGTCAATATTCTGCTCGTACCAAAAAACCTGATGTAGACAAACCCCGTACCCATCAGTAGTTACGTAGTTCAAGGTTAAAAACTGAAACCGAAGGTTTTATTCTTACTTCACATGACTAATGCTTGCTAACTAGAAATTACCAAGCACACATACTGAAAAATTGTGTTAGTCCAAATTGTAGATCCTGTGATAAATATCCAGAAACAATTGACCATCTTGTATCAGATGCATGGTATTGGCACGCACTGAATATAAAACCCGTCGTGACAGAATGGGGTAATACCTGCATTGGAAAATATGCAACTTTTACGGAAAGGAAATTTGGCATGAACATCACCCAGACCTGGTTACAGATTAAGGCCCTGTAACAATACACAAAGACAGAAAAATCAAAGCTAATCGCCCAGAGATCACAAAAACAAAAAACAAAAAACAAAAACAGAATATACCTTCTTATTAACATGGCAGTCCCTGCAGACTGTTATGCATCTTTGAAGATTAAAAAAAAACTATCAAAGTACAAGGACCTTGAAATCGAAATCTCTAAAATGTTGCACGTGAGGGCATCAACAATTTCAGTTGTAGTTGGAGGTCCGGTTTGATTGAAAAATGTTCCGATAGATACATTGAAGTATGATAGCCCAAGCCTAAAAGAAATAAAAAAAATTCTACTCGCATGTACAGCTTACATCAGTACTTTATTTATGTAAAATATGTGTGATATTATGATTTTGTTGTTTTCTTTTTTAAGAAAAATGGTCAGTGGAAAATGTCATAATGACATTTCTGATATTACGTCTCTTGTTGGGACCCGGAAAGAAATGAGTATATACCAGACATGAAGGGAAATAATAATAATAATAATAATATAATAATAATAATAATAATTATTATTATTATTATTATTACTAGTACTACTACCCTCATCGACTCTTAGATATTTCGAGCGGGTGATAATAGTCATACCTCACCTCCTACAAGCAGCTTAGAGGCAGAACACTTTTCACAACACATGAGATTTTCAAAGCAGGGTTGTCACATGTTACTCACCTGAAAAAAATATTAATTTGTATATTTTTTTTTATATCTAAGCTTTCTTATAGTCTTGCTAATTTGTATAAGAAATATTATCAAATATGGCGTATTACAATGGGCATACTTTCCTATTTTGACAGGATTCGTTTTGTCCGTTATGCAGCATTAATTCACGAACGCAGTCGTTCTCGACTTGCGATTAAACATCAGAATAAGTTGCAACATTTGATTTATAAAAAATTTGGGTGTTCTGCTAATCCTCGTATTGGGCAGAATGTGTTGAATCTGTCTTCATACCATTTGTCCGAGCTTGAACTATCAATCCCCTCATACGAACTGGATTTTTGTATTCTCCCCTCACATATTAAGCGAGAGGAGGTGTATTCGGAGTTGTTCGCGCAGCTAGCTAAACCCCAAACTGAATCTGCTAGCAAGGTCAGCGACCTCAAGGCAAAGTTGAATAATATAGCAAATTGTTACGCAAGTACTCCTGTTTCAAATAATGAATCGAAATGGAACGAGGAGCAATTTTGAGTAATTAAAACATTTCGTAATAATAAATCTTTAGTAATTACGAAACCCGACAAAGGTACTGGCGTCGTTATTCTTGATTATCAGGATTATGTTAACAAGATGATGACAATTCTTTGAGATTCCTCTAAATTTGTCCGGTTAGACCCAATAGATAAATTTGATTCTACATTATCTATTGAGGCCAAGTTCCAAAAACGCTTGGTTAAGTGGGTAAAAAGTGAAAAATTGCCCACTGATATTTCAAATTTAATTAGACCCTCGGCCTCCATTCATCCTCGTCTCTATGGTTTATCCAAAACTCATAAAGTTGGGACACCATTGCGACCTATTCTATCTATGATTGGGTCTTCTCAACACATTGTGGCTAAATGGCTTTTCCACTATACTACAGCCGGTTTTGTTGATGGATAAATTTATGTGTTCCTATGCCAGTTTATTTACTTGCGTTCCACTTGCTGAGACTATTGATATATGTGCTGATACCTTGTACTGTAGTCAATTGTCACCGCCTATTATTCCGGAGGACGTGTTTGTTGAACTGATAAAATTTGCCGCGATGTCAGTTGAGTTCAGTTTCGACGGCATCATGTACAGGCAGATTGATGGTGTTTCGATTGGTTTGGGGGCCCATTTTAGCAAATATCTTTGTTGAGTTCCAGGAAGAGAGTGTACTATTAAAATCTGATAAACCTGACGTTTATTTCCGTTACGTTGATGACACTTTTTGTCTCTTCGATAACGAGATTAAAGCGGACCAATTTCTTGCGTCCTTTAACAATATACATCCGGCCTTGAAATTTACACAGGAAAATGAGAAAGGAGGTTGATTCGTCTATTCTCTTTCTTGATATACTGGTCAGCAGATCTGCGTCGGGTTTTATTACTTCTGTTTACCGTAGACCAACGTTTGCTGGTTTGTATATCCGTTGGGATTCTTTTTGTCCTAGGAAACGCAAAATTAATTTAATTAAGACCCTTACCCATAGGGCTCTCATGATCTGTTCAGACATCAAGTTGGATGATGAACTTAGGTTTATTACTTCTACTCTCTGCAACAATGCCTACCCATTAGGCATTGTTCAAGCAATTATTAAGAATAAAATTGTTGAATTTAACAAAGTTAAACCCGCTATAGTAGAGAAATGTCCTGTGTACCTACGCCTTCCTTGGCTAGGTAGTATCAGCGATAGGTTTGATAAGCAGGTTTCTACCGCAGTTCGACATTGTTACTTTGCCGCTAACACTCGTGTTGTTTTCTCTGCCAAGCCTGTCCTTCCGTCTACGCGTAAGGATGTTCTCACATCATAATAGTTCATTAATTT